CCACAGACCAGAAACATGCATGTTAGGCTGATTGGTAACTCTAAATTGTCCCTAGGTGTGAGTGAGAGAGTGAATGGTTGTCTCGTTTGTCTCTGTGTCCCTGTGATGGACTTGCGACCCGTCCAGGGTGTACCCCGCCCCTCACACAATTGCCGTACATGGGCACCGGCGACCCCCGTGACCCAAAATGGAAGAAGCGGGTAAAAGATAATGGATGGATGGATGTCCATGGATGTGATTAATCAAAATCAGTTAAATGTGATCGTTAGTGTTCTTTATTCAGAAAATCCACACGTCGCATTTCAGGATCTGGTTATTATAGACACAGATTAAATGTTCAATATGAATATTTCTATATTTATCACCACAGTAATAGTGTTACACACGTTAAACACTCAAAAGAATAGTTGTAAAGTAAGAATAGTAGAAAATGTTGGCTTAGTGCTTACTAAATATTTAAGGAGTAAACATTTTTATTAATCAAGTTAAAAGTTACAAATGTTGTCTTTGGTGTCTGTTTGTTTTCCAAATGTATTATTATGTGTGAATAACCGGCATTAACATAAAACACTTTGTAGAACGGTGCTTTATAAAGTTCAGTCCATTTCCTTGTATTAGTTGACCGACAGATCTGCCACATCCAATATGGCGGACGCTCCCACGCACCGCTGCACCAGGTCAGCCCACTCAACGAGGCTCTACTAAAACTAGCATAATTTATTGCTCCGCCTCACCAGTTCTCTGTTGTGAACGCCCTGGCAGATGACAAAACCAATCAGTGATGGAGAAAGGTCAGAGGAGCTTTGAACCAATAATGATGAATGATTGGTTGAAAATTTAATAGGTTAACTCCCAAATTATCCCCACCTGCCCAAAGCAATTTTTACCTGTAAAATCAGAATGAAAACTGCCCAGTCTGGCAACACTGCTTCTAGTAAATGTTTTGTGCCTCAGGGCTGCTGTTTTGGAACCCCGAGTTTGTCACATGGTGTAGCTGAGTTTGAGCTGTTTATAAACCTGGGGACACCTGAAGGTGATTTAATGGTTAAATCACCTTTGGATGGATACCTTTGGACCTATACATTTGTATTTTAACTACATTAGCTCTGGTAGCCAACAATAAATTATTTTCAGTTCTAAATATGTTGTAAAGTTTTGTGTTTTAATCTTTGAGGCTGATGGAGAAACTCCTTTTTATAGCTTCGGTTTATAACATTTATGCGTTTCTAGTTCTAACTTCTGAAAAACAACCTTTAATTTAGGCAAGAACCGGTACTAAAGTATTGTGTATTTTCGTACAACATGGAAGCAACAAGAAGACAAACAGTTTTTTCAACAAGAACTGGTCTGAAAAGAAACATGATGCTGTTTGTGCATCTGAAGAAACTGAAATGACCCAAAAACAAACAGAAGCTTCGCTCAGGTATTAAACCCTCATCAGCCCAAGTGTGGAGGTGCAGAGAGCAGAGCAGGAACACCTCAGCAGTCGTTACTGAGCAGCATGTGGTTGGAGGTTCTGGCAGGTTAAATCCTTCAGAATGTGTTCGTTTCTCGACATGTTTAGTCTGAACCCGTGAAACCTGCAGGATGACAATTTTTCTGCTGTGTTTGGATTCCTGCGTGCAGAAACACATGCTTACATAATCACTTGCTGCAACTCTGGAATAAATTTAAGGAGTTCTGCACAAACTAAATCATGTTTCTGTGTGTTGAGCTTCACAACAAAAATAAACATTATAAACAGATGGTGATTTGTTTTAATATTAAATAAATATATTAAAATCCTTCATTGCCTGACAAAAGTAGCTCCTTTTCAGTTTTTTTCAGTTTTGTTCCAATCTGAAATTAAAATGTTTATTTGTTTAGTCAGAAATTGCTTTATGAACATGTCTGCCAGTTTGAAGAATATTTTTTAAATTATGAAATAGTTAATAATTTTGAGCATTCCCCCTCACAGTTTGTTGTAGCTGCACAGTTTATGTTTACACTTCGGTCTCTGCTGTGAAGCTTCTCAAATGCTCAAATCTTGGTGGTCCAGTTGTGGTCGTTCAGTTTCTTGGTGAGTTTGTTGTTGTGATATCGTCATTAGTCAAATTTCCATTCAATTTCAAAATGAATTTGCCCGTGTCTGCACGTGTTTGTATGTCTTTCTGTTACCAAAGTGTCTCATGAACCAGTGGACAAACTTAACTTGCAGTAGTCATTGATTGTGCATCTACAAGTGATCAATTTTTGGATTCAACCCAATTTAAGATGGACTCCACAGCAAGCTGAACTTGGAAAACACAAAATGGCTTTAATTCAATCAGTTTTACAGACATTGAGCTAAAGTTTGATGTAGCTGAGAGTCACTCACAACACAAACTCTGAGCAGGACATCTTGGGATATTGCATAAAATGACCTCTACGCTTTCATCGTACAACATAAGATGATTTTAGTATAAAAAAAAAAATTGAAGACCAACGTGGAGTATTTCTTCAAGAAATACCAACCTTTTAATTAAAATTGTCTTTGACTGTACATGGTTTTTTTTTTACTAAAAAAGGGACTGATCTGAAAATTATTGAAGAGTTTATTGAAAATGGTGACATGGACAGAGGAGACAGAACTAGAAGTGGCAGAAATGAAGATGTTGAAGTTCTTAGGAGAGACAAGGATGGAGAAGATCAGGAATGAGGTCATCAGAGGTACAGCACAGGTTGAACAACTGGGAGATAAAGTTAGAGAGACCAGACTGAGATGGTTTGGACATGTCCAGAGGAGGGACAGTGGGTATACTGGTAGAAGGATGTTAGAAATGCAGCTGCCAGGACAAAAGACAAAGAGGAGATGTATGGATGCAGTTAGAGAGGACATGGAGGTAGTTGGAGTGAGGACAGAGTGAGGTGGAGGAGGTTGTAGAGACCCCTGAAGAGGAAATAGCTGAAAGAAGAAGAAGAATAGGGGCTAATCAGACTATTTCAATAACAAAACTCCAAACGAGCTACCTGAGCTGTTTTCTTCCACTGTAGTGAAGTTGCTGCATCTTAAGCTCCATGCTGGGGGTGGGGGGGGTGGTTCTGCGTGACCTTCAGGAGTTTGCAACCCCCCACCTGGTGAAGTCTGCTGGTCAGACTTGTAGTGAACCAGATAACCTCAAATCTACCAGATGGACAGAGACTGTTATTTTCATTGATCTGAATAAGTCTGAACCATCTGATGAACTTTCTTTCTTGAATTAATCAAGCAGAAAAGACAATTCTTTATAATCATTACTGTCTTACAAATGTTTTGATAATCAAATTGTGTTAGTTCACTCAATGCTTTACAGGTTGAAAAGAACTACTAATTTTTATTTTACATAAACAGTAAGTAATGATTTTTGTTCCTCATTCAAAGCAGAAATCACCTGAATATGCCTTTCTTGATTTTTCTGTCTGAAATGAGCAAGCTGTCGTAAGTATGTGAAAGGTTGGTCTTCGGTCAACTAAAATGTTTACCGAAGAAGAAATGTCATGTTTAAACTTTTTCAGAAGATTACTAAGAGTAGACTCCAAAAAGTCTGCTGCTTCTGCAATAATCTTTTCTGTATGTTAAACAAGTTTCATTCTCTGACCTCGACTGTTGATAAACACCTTACGTCAAAAACCACTCCTCTTTCTGGTCCTTCCACGAATCAGAAAGCTCTAAATTGAACAGGAAGTCGACCCAAATAAAATGTGGCAACTCCCCAGTTCAAGTTAGATTGAGAGTTCTGAGAGATGTTGGATTGGGAGCTGACAACAGGTCCGATAGTCTAACAGAATGAGAAGATTGAGAATGCAGTCGGTTCTGAAAGCTTCAGAGCAATGAAGAATCCAGAGGTTTTTTGGGGATTATAATTCTGTTTTGAGCTAATCAACGCACGACTTTCTGAAGGTTTGGTAGCTCTCGACGGAGACGCTGAAACGAGTCAGAAAGGAACTACATCCAACGCTGATTCATCGTCAACAGGTAGATGGTTCTATTTTGACCAAGTGTACCGTGAGAAGCTGAGATCGGACGGAGCGTGCAACTTCTGGTTAAACAGATTAAATCTCCCTCACATATTCCTCTGTAAGATAAATCTCAATTTACTCTTAAACTCACCTCTCTCTCATAAAACAGTACAGATATTTTTAGAAATGTCTGAAGCAAAGTCCTCAAATCACCGCCGAGTGATTTGAAGTTCATTTTCTGTGAAACTGTCTGTTATTATTTTCATATTTTGCCAAATTAATGTAAATGTTTGATGTTAAACTTTGATTTTGAAAATAAATGATTCCATTCATTTGATGGGTCAAAGATAAATAACGTCTCTCGTTCACATTTCTGTTAAATTCAATGCACGGCATTTACAGTCAGAAAAATGAAGAACTCGTGAATATTGTATGCATATATAATTCATATATTGTGTCATACAACAAGTGACACGTACCTCACGTGTATCACTACAGACTTTACACATCACATTTCTGCTGAACGTGGAGTCGAGGTATGAGCCTCGACGCCGTGTTCTGTGTTGAAAAATGAGCACGCCTCACCTTTGAGCATCCATAACTCAAACACTAATAGTCTGATGCTGATGAAAAGATTATGAGTTGTTGTTATTGATTTGCCCTCCGGGTGTTTGCATCATTCAGAAGCTGCCTGTTGCTTTCCGACCTTTGAACCTTACCAAACCTCTCCACACAACCGTAAATGCTCCAAACTTGTGTTTATATTGCCCACAGATACATGAATCATATTAAAACAGACATATGATGGCGTTCTTGCTGCCCATTTAAATTTTACAGTCGAGCTGAGGATCAGATGAGGAGCAAAACATAATAAAACATCTGTTTTAACAATTTCAGCTTTCAAACCAGCTGTAAAACAAGCACCCAGGAGCAGAGAGCACAAAAGATCACAGAAACAGCTTCAATTAAACCTCGATAGTAATATTTCAGTGCAAATGAATATTATGCTAACTAAGACGTGATTTGTTTGTGTGTGTTTGCAGGATTCAGTCCGGCTCCTACCTGAGCACCGGCTGGTTCACGCTCATCCTCGCCATGGACATGTGCAAAGAGATCCATATCTATGGCATGATAAATGACACCTACTGCAAGTAAGACATAAACTATTACACCACCCTCTCTCTGCGCTCGCTTGGAAAAAAAAAATCACTTTCTCTGCACCGCCGTGTAATCACAGCCTGAACTGCAGTCTGCCCCGGTACCTTTCCAATGCCTCCGTTAATGCCTGAAATCCATATTGTGTTGTTTTTGTGTGTGCTGTGAATACCATTATCTCTTTCTGCTCAGAATACCCAGCAGGATCTCGGTTGTAGTATCAGATTCTTCCCCTGCTCTAATAATCTCTTGCATGTGGGCCTTTCTCCGACTCCTGGGTGAGCGATCAGACTGCGAGGCTGTAGGAGGGATAACAAACAACGATGTTGCTGCTCCAGTCTCGCAGCGTCGCACTCTCAATGAACTCATCTCTTGTAGTTCCACCTGAACTGTGTCTATCCCTCGAATCAGACACGGTTATCTAACGCGTGCTGAAAATCCTGACTTTCATCTTCTGTGCACAGCTATGAGCGCCACTGCAGAGCGGAGGAACGATTCAGGCAGAACAAAGGATTTATATGATTTAGTGAGGCAGTTAAGGGCTGGTTTTTTTCTCTCTTGGTCTGTGGCTCATTTGCGTCCCTCCGTCCTCCATTGGACTCAAACAGGTTTTGTTGAACAAGGTTTCTGAATTTGCATAAAAAAAAATAACAGCCTAATAGTTAATATCAGTTTTAAGCAAAGATGTTGCACAATAAGTAACACTTGGAGTAGGTGCTGGGGATGATTCTGATCTAATACCACACCAAAGTTTAGCACAATATCTGTCAGATTGATTGAGTTATAGCTATTTTTGTGTTTAGTCCATTCAGTTTGGTGTGGCGGCCATGTTGAACTGAGTTCTCCAGCTGTAGATGTACACCTCAGCACTCTCAGAGTCCAGCAGATCAGATGCTTTCAAAGGTTCCACGTCAGTAATGTGAGCTCAGCGCTGATTGAGCACTTTCTGTTGCAGGTCCAAACCTCTAGAATGGTTCACCGCTGTATGTCAGGCAGACTCACTCAATTGGTGTTTTTAAATCTTGTTTAAAAACACATTTACTACATGGCCTTCAACTAACTGTGATATTACTTTAGGTTTTTATTTATTTATCAATTTGTTTCATTGTTCTTATTTTTACTTTTGTAGATTTAGACATTTTATCTTTTGTCCTGGGAATCTTTGTTGTATTGTTCAGCATTTTGGTCGGCCTTGTTTCAGTTTAGTTGATTTATAAATAAAGAGTTATGGTATGATATGCTTTGGTATAGTATGTGCTATGGTATGGTATGGTATGGTATACTGTAGTAAGATATGGTATGGTATGCTATGCTATGGTAAGGTATGCCATAGTATGGTATACTATGCTATGGTATGCTATGCTATGGTAAGGTATGCCATAGTATGGTATACTATGCTATGGTATGCTATGCTATGGTAAGGTATGCCATAGTATGGTATACTATGCTATGGTATGTTATGCTATGGTAAGGTATGCCATGGTATGGTATGGTATGGTACACCCAATCATTGCTTTCTGAAATTTTTTATTAAAATCCATCCAGCGATTCCTGACTTATTTTGCTAACAGACTCCAGGAGTTAATGACAAAGTTTTTAAAACAGACTTCCCTCGATCAGTCAGCTTTTATAGTATGTGTTGGGGATGAGTCTCAGCTACTACCACAACAAATTTAAGTTTGATATGTATGAAGTTGGCGGAGTCATAGTCAATTTGATATTCTGTAAGGTAGCTTAGTAGTGGCATCCATCTTGAATAGGACTGACTCCAGGTGTTAATCTGTGGTAGACAAACATCCAGTGGTTACTTTCTGAGTTTCATTCAGTTCAGTCCAATGGTTCATAAGATATTTAGCTAACAGTGTAGACAAACATGGGCTAAAACAATATTACGCTGCCTTCTCCTTCATCAGTGGACGATATAAAGAAGTGTACTGACCTCAGTGTCTGTGCAGGGAGGGAGCTGCAACAGGTGCTGTAGAGGCTGAAATTGAATTTATTGGTTGACGGTGGTGCACAGCCCTGTGTGACACAGAGGAGAGGCAGTGATTGGGTTGTGTATTACAGCTCTCTGGCAGACAGCCACATCGCTCTCTTACCGTGCACAAACTGGCTGCTGTAATGGCTGTTTCTCCTGTCTGTGTTCATCCTCCCAATGCAATTGTTACAGCAGTCAGTCTCTCATAAAGCTGTCACTCGCCATTAGAAGCCAGCAGCAGAGGATACAATGAAGCTCATCCACTGCTTTCTGCCTCTCACTGTTTATATTGATTCTGTTTAATGCAAACCGTAAACAGAGGCGCTGCACAGGAAATTTCAAGTCAAAGTAGTTTAGAGGGGCGCTTCGGGGTTTTGTAAGTGGGATTCTGTGTCAGTAGTAGTCCTATCTGTGTCAGAGAAGAGTCAAAGTGAAGTGCTATGTGTTGTCATCATTGTATGTTTCCATACAACCCATCACACCTGCGATACACCCAGGTGGAGCAGTATGTAATCGCCCGGGGAGCAATTAGGGATTAGGTATCCTGCTCAAGGACACTAATACAACATGTGGGCATGGCGAGAATTGAATTGTGACTTTCTGGTCCCAAGTTGGCTGCCCTACCTCTGCACCATCTTGGTCCCCCACAATCAAAGTCTGCCATTTTTTCATTCAATCTTTATTTATACAGGTTAGTCTCACTGTTTCTGCTTGTCATAATGGATGGGAAGGGAAATCGCCCGGCTCCCATCCTCTCGTAGTACAATTCATGAAAAGAGCGCTGTGGAAAAGGCCACCGCGCAAAGCATAGCACCACAGTGGTAACTGTTGTTGGTTCTAGATGTACTGTGTGACACACCTTTTGACCCTTATGTCTAGGCCTGTCACAATTACAAATTTTGCTTGGCGATTACTTATCTCAGAAATTATTGCAATAAACGATAATATTATTTGAAATTTGACAATAATTAGTAATTATTGTCACATTTAAGGATAAATGTTTTTTAATTTGTTTTGCATGTACATTAGTGCATTTTTTCATCCACCGGATGGCAATATAAGACTGAACCGAAGGATGGATAATAAGGGAGCGAGCAGCGTGTCTCTAAGAAAAATGGGAGGGAGGCCTCCTGACGTGACATGGGCTGTCTCTCTTTGGTTCTCAAAATGACGGACGCTCGGTGTAGTTTGAGCTCTTTAGAATAGCGTTTTTCACACAAAGCTTTTAATGAAAAAATCAGTAAACAAGTTCTCAGATATTTTTGCAGAGAAAAACAACTTTTTACACAAAGGCACGGGTTTCATCCGTGAATTTTGGAGCTTCAACAAGACAGAGGTTTTTTCCCCCAAGGTCGACCTGTTAGCTTAGCTTCTCAGCTTAGCTTCTCAACTTAGCTTCTCAGCTTAGCTTCTCAGCTTAGCTTCTCAGCTTAGCTGCCTTTAATGATCCAAAAACGGGATTTTGAATCATTAAAAGGATTTTAAAGAGAAAGGGAGGGGTCAGTGAAGAACCGGAGTTGAGCCTTTTGTCATCCAGTGTCTTCAGTAGAAAGAGAGACAAAGAAACGATAAAGCCGATAAATGAAAATGAGGTAGATAATTTTCATTTATCATGCGATTAACTGATTTATTGTTTATTGCAACAGGCCTATTCATGTCCCTGTATTCCCGACCTCTTCTTGTTCAGGTAGGACATCGACAGCAGCTGTGAGGCGGCGGCGAACGACGGGATGATGCAGCACCGCCCGCAGCTCTGTCCCGTGCGGTGGACGCTTGGTCTGGTTTGACCGGGTTGCAAGCGGTGGGCGCTTTCACCGGGCGTGCTCACATGTCTCCGGTCATCTACAACATGCTTGAAGTTCATCATTCTTGCTAGATAACCAGAAGATGAACAAGATGATCAAAACCAACAAAATGATCTCCATTTGAATAAGAAAACTAGCAGTCCAACATGTTTTAATCAGGTCATCTGAACAGTTTCTTTTTTTTGTGCTGAAACGTTTCGCCTTCGATCCAGAAGGCTTCATCAGTCAAGGAAACACACAACAAAACTGATTCTTCCCCAAACAGCTTACTCCAAAGTGGAACAAACCAGTTCTGCTTGTGATAAGATGGTCTCTTTGGTACGCCCCTCCTCCATTGCCGGCTCTCTTCTTTGTTGACAGTCGTGTCAAACTGGTTGAAAACTAGCAGTCCTTAAAGGAATGCATATTGTCCACAGCATTTCATGCCCAAGTTAAAACAAACAACTTGTGCCATTTTTTAGTGCTCAGATGATTCACAGCTGCAGCACCAGTCGTCAGCTCAGATCCTGTATAAAAAGAGGTATTTTGTCTGTTAGTTGTAAAAGTCATATGAATTTGTGACAGCTGTGGAATTTCAGAATAAACAAATACCCAGAATTTAACCGTACTCTACTTAAATTACATCAATTTACTCACCCTGTTCTGGTTGGATGTGTCTCATACTTTTTAACTCACGAGGCCAGTTTTAGAAAATAACAGATTCTTTCTGAACTTGTTGAAATGTGTGATGCATCCACTGACAGATGGGACTCGAGAACATCATCTCTTCACCATCTGTCCCAGATCTGCCATAAGTGCAACGTTTGCAACCACATAGGCCCAGCGGGGGTTCCTCTCAGCCATGTGTTCAGCTTTGATGCTTTTTGATAACTTGTTAACTGCGTTGTGGTTCATTCAAGTACTTTTATTATAAGCACTTATAGTTTTCCCGACACTTTCCTACAACAACCTCCCAGATGGATCTATGGGGAGCATCATGTCTCCAAACCCTGAAGAGCTCTGATGTGACCAGCTGTTAGCTGGACCTGAGGAGACTTTCTTCTTGATTATCGTCCGCCTCCATGAAGGACAGTCTGCATCTGTGTATGTGTTTGATGAATGTCTGATGAAACTTTTAGAAAAATGATAGCAAAATATCTCATAAACCCCTGGAAAGACTTAAATGAAGCTCTGAGAAACTACCGTCATCATTGGGTGAACGTCTACAACTTATTTTCATTTTGAGGTCTTCCCAATTCAAGATGGCTGCTGCTTCTAGTCATACTTAACCAACACAGAAATGGGTATAATGTAGTCAGGTCTACAGACGTTGAGCTGACGTTTGATGTGGTAGTAGCTGACCATCATCCTCAACATCAACTTCAAGTGCTAGCACAGGGGTGTCCAGCTCCGTTACAAAAGGGGGCCAAAATGAAAGACTCGGACCAAGTCATGGACCAGTTTCAGTCGTCACATCGAGTCAAGTCAGGTGCCTGACATCTTTTCTTGGTTGCAGGTTCCTCGACAAGAGTTTGATCGGCCTCGTTTGACGTTCCCTGTTGCTCTTTACACGTCAAAATTAAAGAAGACAGAAAAATCCAACCTTTTTTCTGATAAATCTGCATTAAAATAATATTTATTTAAACAAAATAAGAAGCAATAAAAATATTTTACATTTAAAATATCATGGGGGCCGGTGCCATGGTGGCGCAGTTGGCAGAGTTGTTGCCTCTCAGCGAGAAGGTCGCTGGTTCAAATCTTGGCCTGGGACCTTTCTGGGTGTAGTTTGCATGTTCTCTCCGTGCTGCGTGGGTTTTCTCCTGGTACTCCAGTTTCCTCCCACAGACCAAAAACATGCATGTTAGTCTGATTGGTAACTCTAAATGGTCTCTAGGTGTGAGTGAGAGAGTGAATGGTTGTTTGTCTCTGTGTGTCCCTGTGATGGACTGGAGACCTGTCCAGGGTGTCCCCCGCCTCGCACACAGTCACTGCTGGATATGGGCACCAGTGACTCCTGTGACCAGAAAAGGAAGAAGCGGGTAAAGATAATGGATGGATGGAAGGATGGATGGATCCTGTGGGGCCAGATAAGATGTTAACAAGGACCAGATTTGGTCTGCGAGCCTTGAGTTTGACGTGCACATGAGATTTTGTAAAACGCATCAGGTCGTGCAGAAGGTCCTGGGTTCAATCCCCGGTCATTGCACCTCTTGTAGCATCCCTGAGCAGGACACCTTATCCCCAGTTGCTCCCCAGGTGCTTTTCATAGCTGCCCACTGCTCCACCTGGTGGTGGATGGATTAAAAGCAGAGAGCCAATTTCACCATTGTATGGGAGCATACAATGATGACAACACATAACATATTATTATTATTATTATTATTATTATGTCATTTATAAGATTACAGTAGTCCCTCGCTACTTTGTGGTTCGTTTATCGCGGACTCGCTCTATCGCGGTTTTTCAAAATAAGATTGGACATGACACACAATTGGCTGATTGATGGATGAGCCGCACGATTGGCATGGAATTTTTATTTAAATGAAATTATTCAGCACCTGCTGCACATTTGTGCAGCCCAGAGGTGCAGAAAAAAGCAGAGAGGAAAAGTGGGCGTGGCTGAAAGCAGCAGAGGCGGAGAGAGGGAAGTCATGACATGCTGCTCTGTTTTAGAGCGTTTAGAGTTTAGAAACATTGTTTAGAATATTACAAGAGTGTGGGAAGGGTCTGCCTTCAGGGTGTGGATCCCCCGCCATAAATGAGGGACCACTGTGCACCAATGCAGCTTTAACTCTGTCTCTTCTCAGCATCAGATAGTTTTAGTTTTACTTCCTTCCTGTGAGGCGTTCTTTCCTAAATATGTCCGATCATATGTGACCAGTCTTTCTGCTCCTTCAGTAAATATTTCTCACACGTCTGTAGACAAACGTTCAGGATTATAATCTGGAGCGTTTTGGTTTAATAACCTCTCTGTTTCCCTCCGTCCTCCAGGTCAGACGGCTACAGAAAGGTTCCTTATCATTACTACGAGGCAGGAGGTCGGGACGAGTGCGCCGAGTACCTTCTTCACGAGAGCGCCCCCTACGGCGGACACCGCTTCATCACAGAGAAGTCCGTTTTCGCCAAGTGGGCCAAAGCTCACGCCATCAAGTTCTTCAACCCGCCGTGGCAGCTGTCGTGACCCCGGCAGAACCTGAAGCCCGAGCGTCTGGTTTGGCACAGATTTCATTTGTTTTGGTCGCAGGTTTAATCTCCAGACTCTGATAAATGTCCAACCTGGACAGAGTTTTCACACCTTCTGCTCCTTTTTGGAGTTCACCTCCTGGTGAAGCTCTCCCAGCTCTGCACTGACTGAAACATCCACGGCTGCTCTGTGAGTCCAGCAAAGGATGTCCTGAACTCGTTTTTTTCTAAAAAGGGAGCAGATAAAGCGTCATCAGCTTGAATTTATTATTATTTTTTCCAGTTTGGAGCTGAAGAAGAGCTCCAACTGAATCGAGCGGTGTCGGATCGTACATCTCATCAGCTCGTCTGTTGTTTCCTCTGCTGTCAGGTTGTAATTAATCTTTAACTGGCTTCATTTAGCCTCCGTCTGCGGCCGAGGGACAGCTGAAGGCGGACGCTCCGTCACTTTCAATTTACTCCTTTTAAAAACTCTTCAGCAACCAAGGTCGTTTGAAACCTGCCATTTAAAAGAAAATGCAGTTTGCAGGCAAACTTCAGGTGCATCTTCTTTGTTGTTATACATTTAAAAGATGTCGGCTCTTTTTCTCTTCTAATCCTTTCTAAATGAATTGTGTGGATTCGGCTCATCGTCTGGCTGTTTTTTTGTTTTATTTCTGCATATTTTTTTCCTGCAGAAGCGACACTTTTTGCAGCGGTGCGAGCATCGCAGCACAGAGAGCAAGGTGCAATTAGAAACTCCGTCTTTGTGGGCGGAGGTGAAGTCGTTTGTGACCCCACGGAGGGAGAAGTTCGTGCGTGCAGTGAAGCCCCGTGAAGTTAATTGTGTTCCATTATCTTTTTGTGCCTGCCATATTCTTTGCAGTTCACCGTGAAGACAAAAGCAGACGCGTTCGCTCGTTTTCCTCCTGATTCTCATCCAGCTTTGTGCCTCTTTGTGCGTAAACTTTCCCATTTGCCTCTGAATGCATCGTGCACATCCTCTTTTGTACTTAAACACATCTCGTAGCAGTGAAGAATAATCAGAGGTGTCGGTACCTCGAACCCTGATCAGGCCTCTGAGCAGCAAACAGACAGTAAATATTAGTTAATTATGGAAACTGAGTAAAAAAAAACTAAACAAATAAAAAGAATTTGATTTTCTCCTCACGTACATTTGTAGCTTTCTCTCGAGTTTTTCTTTTAAGAAAAGATACAGTTTTTACAACACTAAGCAAATGTTTAACAATTTTAGTTTCAGTGTATTTTAAATGTTCTGGTAATGATATTCACTGCTTGCCTCTGAAAGGAAAAAGCGGGTCTGTTAGCAAAATATCTCATGGCGCTCTGGGCGGATTTTAATGAAACGTTCAAAAAGTAATTGTCTGATCTGTGTCTACAGCTGATTAACGCTTGGAGTCTGCTCGATTCAAGATGGCCACCACAGCTAATATTAGCCAGAACAAATAGGTACCAGACACCCTTGTTTCTAATATATTTTTTAATCCAAACGCAGCTGAAGGCGTTGCAGGAAGCTGCCATGGTTGGTTTCTGGTTCATTTCTTTGTGTCCGGTGCTCATTTTTAAAACCAGTTTGTTCGTCGACACTGGTCTCTGTGCTCCAACCTGCCGCTCATCGTCAGCCCCCCTGCTGACAGCAGCAGCAGACAAATGTAAAAAACACCTGTTTTAAATTCTTTCTGAAGCAGCGCGGCCGGTGGAAGGCGGCGGCGACGCGGTCAGCGGTTCGATCTCCTCTGGGACAACTCGTGCTCTGGAGACGTCAGACTCTGTTAACAGTCAGGGTGAGGACAGGTGGGGACTTTTTCTTGTTCCTGCACCTCCTTCATGTAAACGTTCTCCTCTCAGCCTGGCATCGTTCAGCTCCTCTGGCAGCTCGGACCTCTGCAGCAGTGGATCCACCTCGCACCGTAAAACAAAGTTCAGCTGTGAGGCTCGTTTTACCGTCCCGGGACTTTAACGTGCATTTTTATCTAGAACTGTAAGTTACAGGCACAGAGGGACTGTTGGCACATTTCAGTTTAATAACTGTTGTCGGTGCATTGGGTTGTGCACTTGTTTGTTTTCTGATCAACAAACGTCCCTCAAACATTTTTTCATGAAGAATGATCGGCTCATGGATCATCTGTGGCTTCCAGTCGAACTCCGTTTCACATCGTTAAAATTTCAAACGTGTAATTTTAGGATATTTTAAAGTTTTAAAGAACTTTTAGTTGTTTAAGAACCATCTAAAATATCTTAAAAAGCAAAAGCCTGGAGTTCGGGGACTCCTGTGACATCTTTATCCAACAGTTGGGACGTCAAACATTTGTAGTTGTTGTTTAGTAGAACGCTCTGTGTTCACGGTGCAAATTAGAGATTTGTGTAAGAAGAACCTTTTTTTTTTTTAATGGTCGGACCTGTTGAATGAAAACGGATCTGACACCAGACTGAGGAGATCCGTTTGTTTAAAGAGTTACAGCGGTTCAGAACAAAGAGGTTCTGAACGGTCATGTTGACCCGGATCACAAACAAACTGCCTGATTCTGAAAAATAAAACGTATCGTTGGAGGCGTGCATGTCTCCTCTGAACCAAAGTTTTAAACAAAGATGTCACGTGACCTGTCGACCTTCAGAGAAGGTGTTTGGGATCAGTCTCAACTACTACCACACCAAACACTACCTTAGACCTGGGGTGCCCAATACGTAGATCACGATCTACCAGTCGGTCACAAAAGCTTTATTGGTAGAGTCATGGCATTAAAAAACAGACGTCAGCCTACATCCATCCTCAATATGTCACTTGATTGACAGTTCTCATTCTCTCAAACCAGGTCTCAGAGTGGAATTTTTGGGTGGGAACCCACTCCCCCAAGGTGTGAAATTCTCCGTGTGTGAAGTCGCACATGCACACTACAGGCAGCTGCAGTCCAAAGTGTTTCTGGACTAACAACAGTTATAATAAATGGCAGAGTGTTTTTGTGCTGCTCACCCTTTTTCAGCATATTGGAACAAAACTCATGAAATCCAGGCGCCAAAGAGACGGTGGTGTTTCACCAGTGTGGACGCAACCGATCGTTCAGACGCTGCATGTGCAATGAATGCAGCTCAGGGTTGCCAGATAAATTTAAAATGTCTTATTTACCCCTCCTTTTCTGTGCACGTTCAACAAACACAGCACACATCTCATCTTAGAATATCTTTACTCAGCACAAATGACAGTTTAGGTCAAAATACTATCATTTGAAAGCAACTACTCTAGTTCATAATTTCTTATCTGGCAACCCGACTGACATGGAAACTACAGCGTTTTTCATGTAAACCTGCTCATTTTTTGTTTTTTACCCCAATAAACATTGAAAAAACACTAATGTTTCCAGAGGTTGTTCTCGTATAAACGAGGCCTCGTCGTAGGTCGATCACTCGGGCTTGGTCAGGAGCTCGCATGCTGAAAAAGTCTGGGCACCCCTGCCTTAAACTAACAGAGTGATAGGTGTTAGCTGTGACGGCCATCTTGATTTGGTTGACTCCAGAAGTTCATTAGTTGTAGACGTTCGGCGGTTCATGAACCGGCAGTGTACCAGACACACCGTTACATTTCAGACACCAGTATTAGTAACTGTGACGTGCTTCAGGACTCTTCTCAAACAGTTCACTGCTAAAATGCACAAACTAATATTTTTAAAAGATTTCAGTCAGTCGTCCTGTTTTGGGTCAAAATGCAACTCAACCTTCACTCTTCATGCTCTGGATCTATAAACTTGAGGTGCAGAACCATATTTTTGTTGTACTTTAATGAAAAATCAGTATTTTTACCCATTTTTCTGTCCATATTTGCCTCTTGTGTTTTAATTCACAGCTTGAACCTTTTCATTAAAACAATCTCGTGTTAGTTTTAAGAAGGGGCGATTCACTTTCAAGCTGTTCATCAAAAACCTGAAAACGAGGGTTTTTTTAATTTATTTTTTGTTTGCACCTCTCTGTCTAAATGCAAATTAGGAAAGAGAAACAAACTAAAGCAAACTGAAGGTTACTTTTAATAAGAGACCTAATTAAAGTGCAGCGTGGCAGCAGAAAGACACAAAAGTCATTATTTCTGAAACGGCTCATCATCTTCCTGTTTGATCAGTGAAGGTGATTTAGTTGAATTTCTAATTCAGTTTTCTGTGTTTAATGTTTCCTTTCTTCCCTGACTTGTTGCCATTTCCTCAAAGTGCTTTATTTTATATAAAAAATGTATTTTTCTTTTTTTTTTTTTGCTTTGTAAACCACTTCCCTTCACATTTGGAGGTCAAGTGTCCTTGTAAAAGTGTATTTTTGTTGTTGAAGCTGCACAGAATGTAACATTTCAGCACGTCGTTTTCTAACTCACTGCTTATGTCAAAGGGAATAACGTCCAGACGCTGCATGGATCACTGCAGGTTACGTTTAGTGATTATCTGTTAGTCTGCTGGTTGTTGGTGGATAAAACTAGATGTAATGTGATTTTATTTTACTGATGTGAGCTCTGTCCGTCTTATTCTCTGTGGGGATTAAAGAAATCCTTCAAACTCTTCCGTCTGATCAGAGTTTTTAAAGAAAAGGAGCCGTCGTCTCACATCAGGTGTCTCTTTAAATCGTCAGGAGAGGAGCGGAGGTGTTCTGGGTCCAAACATTTCTGTTCGAGCTCGGCTGTAATCTGCAGAACTGAGCTCCAGTTTAATCGTTCATGCACACGTTTGTACTTTTTCTGACACAGCGTGAATAAAATATCAAGACTGATAATTAAAGTAAAAAATTTTTTTTTTTTTAAAGTGGTGTAATTTCCTGCTGGATAGGAACACCAGTTATTTAGTCCTTAATTAATTTATTCATTTAAATCAACAGTAATGAATTCTCCAAAGTTCAGTCAGGTCCTCTGGACGGCTTCTTTTTGTTGAAACGTTTCGTCCAAAATAATTCATCAGTTCGAGGAGCCACAACAAACTCAGTTTAATAAATAGCACCTTCACATAGTGGGTCAACCAGCAGTGTTGCCAGATCTCGCGATAGAAACAAGCACCCAGCTCTATGAAAATAAGCCCAACTGGCAACCCA